TCACACAAATCAGTCCTGGGACTCATAATTTGAATTTCTGGTGTCAATTGATGTCATAATTTTCTGAAAGCATCATACTTCAAAGATTTCAAATTACTATCTTCTTCTAGACCAGCTAGAAAATCTCTGTGTACAGATTTATAACTCATTTCAGCTGGTAAGAATACAATTGATTGAGTTATTCTATTGACACTTCTGCCTGGGCTTGGTAATCCATGAATATCTGCATAATTTTCTAGAAAATTCTTTACTACCTCTGCAACATTTTTATCAATTACCATCTTAGTTTTCCATTGAGGCATCCTTTTAATATTACCATGAAGTCTTGGCAGAAGACCATTGCTTATCAGATGATTTCTAAGATTCTCAAAATAAGTTCTGCCAATTCCTAGCATGTTAGAGAATGATTGTAAGTGTTCAAGATAGCATGCATGCTTCAATGTCTGTAAATTTCCAATAATCAAATATCACATATCAAAATGTTTCATATTCAACAGTGTGCTGCCTTGACATCTTGTAATCATAATAATAATAATAATGATTACAAAAAGCCAAATACCAATTACCATCTTGATGAGAATCTTATAATGATCTGATTTCAATAATATACAGTACATTTATATAAAATAAAAGACAAATTAAAAAAAGAGTTACCTCTGGCTAGTTATAAACATGTTTCTTTTTAGAACCAATCATGCTAAACAACATTGCTCATGTTTTGCATTTTGTCTATAAAAAATAAATTGTTTTTCCAAAAAAAAAAAAAAAAACAGGGGTTCCATACATAAATAATTAATGTACACATTTTGTTGATCAATCAACAATTCTTTTATTTTTTTTTTTCAAGATGTTGTTTTGTCCAAAGAAATGTAACCAAGCAGACAAAGCAGAAAAAATATATGGGTAAGTGTTTATTGTAAGAATGGTGGTGGTGGTTATCACCACCACTCATTGTCACTCTAGTTCATTTTAAAAGAATGGGTTGCAGTCACCACTCTAAATTAATATTAATTTCTCTTTTTCTTTTTCTTAAAAATAAGTGCTTCTAAAACTACAAAAAGAAAACCAGCTAATGTTGCAGCTTTAAATGAGTAAGTATTATTTATCAATTATAATTATTTTTAAAAGAATGGTGGTAGTGTGCAATGCATTGTTGTCATTATATTTTAATAAAAAATAGGTTAAATTAATTGAATATGTAAAATTTTAACAAACAAAAAAAAACCACTATCAACCAGGGACATCAGGAAATTTTTCTGATGCAGATTTACATAATTATTACACTATTTATGTAAGTTTATGGCAGGCCTGTAATATTATGCAAATAAGCATACAAAAATTATGCAATTATTACATCAAGTGTAAATATTACATAATTTTTATGCAAATATTACAACTTTACATATTAAAATTTATGGACATAATATTGCGGTGGGGAAAATTTCCTGATGGATGACAAGAACAAAAAACAAAAAATAACTAATGACAATAATAAAGTATCATCACATCACGAAGAATGTGATTCAATTAAAGTAAACAAAACTCTTAATCATCCAGAAAATATAAAAAAAATTTGCACATGTCAATTGTAAGTTTAATAATAAAAAAGTGTAAAACTTATGTCAGCACTGTAAGATTTACACAATATTACGTCGGTGTTATAAGATTTATGCAAGTTTATGCTAAACTAATTTCCTGATGATGTCAATTACATTCATTTTAAATGGACATGGTAAATTACTTTATTTTTAACATTAGGTTTTTTATTTTTGTAATGCAATAGATAGACAGTGTTGATATGTCAGCACTGTTGAATGATATTAAAAGTGTTGTACAAGTCAAACCACAATCACCATTGAAACCATCAGAAATATTTAAAATATTGAAAAGGTTATATGAATCACCAGTAAGTTTTAACAAATTGTCTGCATAATAATCTGTTCCTTTAAAGAATTTTGATTTTAAATAAACTTTATATCATTTTGTAGGACAAAGATAACTATACATATGATTATACATGAAGTTGAAATTAAAACCCCAAAGTTGAAATGTTTTGACTTGAGCAACTACGTAGTAAAAATCAGTTTTGACCTTATTTCGACCCTATTTTGACCAGATCTGCAAATGGTCAAAATAGTTTTGACTTCATGTATACATATGATGTTAATTTCTTAACAGATGAACTTGTCACATTTTTAAAATTGTGATCAAGTTTTTCATTATTATCAGCCACTGAATCAATGTTGCAGTCAGTTACTGAACTATTACTGCCAGAAAAGATCAGAATACCAGAATTATGCTTAGTTGCTGATGGTATGAAACAAAAAGGAAATGGTCGATATGCATTTGTAGATCTTTTTATTCTAGGAAAATCAAAATATTCAATTTTAGAATTAAAATATTGTGAGATTGTAAACAGGGACTGAGGAAGTCCTGAGCAAGTCGATCAATCAGAACTAACTTACTGTGTAAGTCACGTGACAACTATATCATTCCTATTTATCTTAATATTTTGTGTGACCACTATGCTACACATCACGTCACATTGCACGTGTAGATCATTACATCATTTCTATTTTTAACTTATTTTGTGACATAATTATTTACTTTGAATTATTAATCAAATTATTTGTATTAATTTATTGGACAAAACATTGTAAAGGTCATGTTATTTGTAATACCTCAAGAGGTATAAAAGAGCTTGGTTTTAGACCAAGAGAGAATCATAATGTTCATGATATAACAATAATAACATAATAATAACCTTGTAACAAAAATATTATTGCTAATAAAGACACATAACACTTTTACAATAATTAATCTGATAAACCTATAACAAATCTTTGCTGAAAAGCAACTTTCACCTTAATTAAAAGCTATTCTACCTAGGGGACGCCTTAGCTAGAGCAGCAATATATTTTCTTTTATTTTATTATCTTAGGCTAGTGCCAGCAGTACTTTGTATTAGTACTGATAGGAAATAAAAGTGCTTATAGATAGCTCCTATTGGTGAGTGGAATTTGTTAGCTCCAGGGTGAGCGGAAGAGTATTGGATAGCCCCTAAGGGTGAGCAGGAATTGAGAATCCTTACCTGGAGGAAAGACAGAAAGGATATATATATATTTTATTGGACTTTGATATTTCAACCTATATATTTATTGACACCTCACAAGCTGTATTTGAATTTACATGCTTGCATGCAATATGTAAATCTCTTAGGATTGATAAGAGCAAAAAATAATAAGTGGAATACATTTGCAAGTACAAATGATTTAAAAAATCTTGATAAGCATATTGAAGGTGAAAATGAAGATGATCTTTTAAAAAGAGAATTCATGTATTGGTTGAAGGAACACAATGGGCCAAAAATTATAACACTAAACTCAATTTTGACATCTGCAATGGAGCAAGCCAGAAAATATGCTAATATAATTGCACATGGTTCAGCACAAAGAGGTGATTCAGGTGTTAATGATATCTGAATTTTCATAGAAAAGTCATCTGATTGTTGTATTTTAGATAGCTATGTAATTATGATGATTGGATTCCGATGCCCTATTTTCAGGATGGTTAGATCTCAAAACATATATCATTGTTTTACAAAATTAAGTAATTAATAGAATGAATTGAACAAGTTATAAAAAAATAATTAATATAGCTTCTGACTATTAAAACAAAGAGAATGAAAAATTGTTCCCATTGTCACTTTTTTTAAACCTAATACTAAAAGATAAATAATATAAAAACAAAAATATTTGTCACAAATGCTGTTATCTATTACTATGCAACTCAGTTAACATAAAACAAAATAAATATAAATTATTTCAGATCACAAAGTTAATACCCCCACTAAAAATGATAACTATTTTCCTTGTTCATAACAAAGAATCTACATTGTTTTTTTAGAAAATTATCACCATACATCCCTGTAAAATTATGAAAAAATAATTTTTGCAAGTGTGTGTCAACTGTAAATCTAATAATAAAAAAGCTTAATACCTCTATAGCAGTCTTTCTGTTCCAGCAAAAAAGCACATTATAGAGTGTCGGTATATGAATATGAAACATATAAAATAATTTTAATTGGGCTTGAATTCTTAGTACATTATAGAATGAAACCCGTTATAGAAAAGGCAGTTATAGAGAGTGTGAACTGTACTTACATCAGTACTATAAGTATTATACAAGTTTACAATAATTTCCTGATGCTCTGTGTTGTGCACTGAAACTATCTGAAGCCAATTTGGTTAATAATCTATTTAGGTTTAAGTTAGTGTAAGTTCATTTCCCAAAACATTTTGGGACTAAGGTTTCTTGCCAAAACTCATCCAGAAATCAATCAGCAGGGTTTTGGCAGGTTACACATTAATTGTTTATTAGAGTTTCAGCAGAGTTTCGCATTTTGAGGTTTCGCCATTTTGGCATAGTTTCAACAGAATTTTTGATAAGATTTAATATAGTTTTGCTGTGGTTTCAGCAATTACTAAGGAGGTTTCGCCCACAACCTTATTTGGGACACCAAGAGTTTTTTTGATCACAACTATGCCTGTAAATCCACATGTCACAATTATAATGCTCACTTTGTCTTATTTTGTTGCAAGCATGCCACATGTAAATTAACTTCATATTAACTATTTTTGTCTAGATGAATATTGTGATGTTAAACACTATTGATCCCTGAAATCTTTGGTAATACCAATGTTCACCTTGTCTGGTTTTGTTGCAGCATGCCCCATATAATAATAATTTAAAAGTTAGTGATGATGATGTACCTGAAATTGAGATTGACCAATCAAATATAGTGGTGTTTGGGTGGAAAATTCCTTTTAATTGTTTCATTTTCACAGGCTAAAAAATTGGCTAATTTAATTTTCATGTTAACCGGTTGATTTTAACCAGTTATAGTTAAAAAAATGATTGATAAAAGTCAACCTGTTAGAAAATTTTTGTGTGGTGCCAATCCTACAGTGCAGAGGAAGGGTATAGATCGCCCCAAAAAATTCACTTTAAAACTTATTTTGTATATGGGTGCAAAACCTCTTTTAAATTTAGAATATTGACTAGTTCTTAATTGATAGATTAGTCTCTAATATTCAACAAAAATCATTCCTAAATTTGAAATTTGGCAAATTCAAATAATAAATCACCAATAAGAATATGCTGCTGCTGCTTAATAATTTATCACATTGGTGCATGTCACCTAAAGTCATCAAGAATTTTATGAGTGAATTTAAAATGTATCTAGTACTAGTCAGTGTTGAAAATTCAGTGGGAGGGTATAACATTACACAACTTGTGTGCACATATCATTTTTTAGAAAATTTTAATTATTTATTATTTTAATATTAATGAATATTGTTTTACAAAAAAAAAAAATTAAAATCCAATGTTTCTTGGTTTTTTGCTCTCCCAATGTTCTATTGCTTTTAAAAAATCAAAAATTTCAATTTCTGGTCCATTTAATGAAATCATTAAATGATCATCTAATGTGTTTAAATACAATTTGTTTCTTAATTTGTTTTTAATTAACTTTGTTTGAGAAAATAATCTTTCTACATGAGCATTAGAAAGAGGCATAAGAAAGTTCTATTCTAACAACTAATAATACATTTGGATTATTAAAAGGAAAATCTTCATCAGTATCTAAAATGTGTTTCCATAATTGAATGAAATTCATTTCCCTATTATTATTTTTATAGTTCTGTAGAAAAGTTTTGTTGAATTCCATTCTTATTTAAGTTCTTCTTTGTCAATGATTCCACTAAATTCATTGCCATCAGGGCTGGAAATAGTACTTTAAAAATCCGGATTTTCCTTAAAAAATTTTAACTTCCAGAAAAAAAAAAGTTGCCAGATATTTTTCCTTTTTTTTTCCAAAAAAATTTATACTAAATAATGTATACATATATAAGATATTTCTTTAAATACTGCAAAAAGATGGTTAAACATTCTTGGTTACGTTTTTAAACTATATCATCAAGGAACATATTATGATGGACATGAAAGGGAAGATGTTCTGCAATATAGAAAAGTGTTCTTAGAAAAATGTTTGATCATGAGAAGTATATGTCCAAATATGAAAAAGAATTATTGTAGTTCATGATGAGAGTATTTTCTATTCTAATGATGGTAAACATGGAGTGTGGACCAAGAATGGTGAGATGCCACTGAGAAAAAAGGGAAATGGCAGATCAATTATGGTTAGCAAATTTTTAACAGAAGTCAATGGATGCCTTAGTTTCCAACAAGGTGAGATAGAAAAACATCCATATGTACCTGATGAAGCACAGTGTTATTTAAAGCCTGGCATAAATCAAGATGGTTATTGGACAGCAGAACTTATACTTGAGCAAATTGGTTATAAGGTAATTCCTAGTTTTGAGGCATTATATCCAGATTGCATAGCTGTATTTGCTTTTGATAATAGTTCTAACCATGTTGCATTCAGAAATGATGTTTTGGTTGCAAAACAAATGAATCTAAAACCAGGTGGCAAGCAACCTGTTATGTATGATACTTTGGACAAAATAAACAGTCACAATCAATGGTTTTTCCATTCACACATCCTGATGAGAAACTTAGAAACAAACCTAAGGGCATAAAACAAGTATTAATAGAAAGAGGGAAATGGTCATCTCAAGGATTAATATTAGAATGCGAAGAATGTAAAGAAAATATTAAATATGATTCAAGAAAATCTTGTTGTGCATAAATGCATCTTTTTTCTAAAATTTCACTGTGAGCTAAACTTTATTGAAAGATATTAGGGTGCTGCTAAATGATATCTGAGAGAAAATTGTGATTATTCATGAGAGGGTTTAAAAAAAACAGTACCTGAAAGTCTTGAGTCAGTACAATTAGGAAATTTTCAAGAAAGTGTTGGTGTTATATGGATTTATATAGAAAAGGAATCAGTGGTAAATTAGCAGAGTATGCTGTCAAAAAATATAGATCTCATAGGAGAATACCAGATGGAGTAATAGAAGAATTAAATAGAATAATAATAAACTGCTTTTAAAAAAATTAACCAATAAAATTCATTGATAGTTATATGAAATTCCGGAATGATCTAAATTGGGTATTAGTATATGCAGGTTGAGTGCTGTACACTTGTGCAGTGAGTATAGCACAAACATAAGTAAAATTAGATTGAGTACAGTAAGTACAATTTATAGGTCTCACACCCAGCCAAAAAATTGAATAAACAAATAGTTTGAATAAAATTTATATTATGAATAGAAACCCTGATTAAAGAACACAAGAAATTATATGTACATGTAAAAATCAAAAAAGTGATTAAATAATACAATGATGATAAATTGTGATCTGAATCTATTGTGTTGTTGTTATCTGACATTAAGGATTTGTTGATGGTGAATGAAAATGAAGTTGCTATTATCCATTATGTAAAGAGAATATTTTATTATTATTATTGGTTTATACATGTATGTTGAATGAATGTCCTGTAAAAATTTACTCTGTAATTAGTGTTTTTTCCGTTATTAAACTCTGAGTTTTTTCTATAATAATAACACTATCAGGATCAGGGAAAACATAGACATATGTATTGCCAATGTTACATGATTTGAAAAGATTGGATATAGGCCAAGGGAATTTAGTTCAACAAGTGAGTTGAAATGATTTAGATATGGCTTTTTATTTGATAATATAGGTATATTTAAATTATTCAGATATATTAATTTTTATTTATTAATATGTTAATAAATTATTTATATATTATATATTGATAAGCACATCACTTCAATGTATGTTTATTAGAATTACATTATTTTAGTGTGCATATTTGACATCTAAATTTCAAAATGAAAAAAAAAACCAAAGATATACAGTATAATATCACTATTAAATATAATTTCATTTCTCAAGATATTTAATATCACAAGCCAAATAAATAAAATAAAAAATAATATTAATACATAATAAAATGACGGGATTTAAAATTCATCCATCTAAATCAATCTGATGAGAATCTAAAAAAAATATTTATTAAAGAGTGGATATTAATTTTAAAAATTAATAAAATGAAAATAATCAATTATTGAATATTAATACTTACCATTATTATTACCAATAATTGTTACTTTATTAGAATTAACAGGTTGAGGAAGGTTTGTAAATTTTAATAATCTACTAGTATAAACTGCATTTGGATGAATTGCTGTAGTAATTGTCGAAGGATCAAATTTTATTTCATCCATTTTCTCAAATTCAGTTGATTTATAAGATAAATTCCAACAATCAATAATCTCAAAAATATTTTCAGCAGTTGGACGTTTATCTGGGTTAGCATCCATGCATTTGAATGCTAGTTCAATATAGAATTTTGGTGTGTTGT